AACTGGAGATGATGTTGATAATTGTGTCGGATCTTGTCTTGATTCATCTCTAGTGAATTCCCTTTCACTCACAGACACTGTTGGTGATTTCTGAATGCCCTCCACAGGTAGGCCATAAGCCTGGTCTGCTCCACTGGAATACTCTTTTATGTGTTGAACTGTACTTTCTGTTGGTGCAGAGATAATCTGCACTTGATCAGTCACAAACTCTGAGATATTGTGAGTGGGTAACTGTCTCATTAGGGTTTGGTTTCCTTCACTCTGACCCTCTCCTGCCTGCTCCTGCTCCCTCTGTATCGCTCCATCGAGGTTTACTGAATCTTTCATCGTGCTGGGATCTGTCTGATCTGCTCCAATCAGCGATTCTTTGTCACATAACGTGAGGCTTTCACCCTGTTTTCTACCAAATAATCTCTCTCGAGTGTCAGTGACGTGTGATGGGTCCTGAACTGCTACTGGCCATTCCAAAACTGCCTGTCCTGTTGGCGTGTCAACTTGTTCCTCTTCACGCAGGCACACGTTCACACACATAGGGGGGTCTTCACACTGATCTCTTCCTGTCACACTGAGATGTTCAGTAAGACACTCTTTGCCCAATTGAACAACTGCCTCTGTTTGTCGATGCTCAGCCATAAATGTCACTTGAGCAGGTTTCTCTGTTCGAGCTGTGACCAGAACATTCTGCCCTGTCCTCCCTCTCTGTGACTGAGTGAAGCAGTCATCTGTTTGTAGGCCATCCTGGTGCTGCTCACTGGGAAATGTTGACACTGACAGTGCTGACCTTCCCATGTGTGTGGTCTCCCCCTGGCCTTGGCCACTCAGCGGATCTTCCCCCAAGTGAGTGATGTCCACTTTTGGAAACAATTCCATCTCACGTTTTGCCATCAGGAGATATTTGGCTGGTTGACCAGGATCGTTGGCAGCAGCTTGGCTTCTGGAAGAAATTGGCACTAAGTGAGCATGACTGCCCGTTGGCTGGTCAAGGCCCTGACCCTCACTCGTCGAAGACTGCATCAGTAATCGAGCAAAGTTCAAATCAGGAGGGTCAGTGTCCCGTCTCTGATATACACAGTACTGCTGACCAGGACATTCTCCTTTCATAGTAGCAGGAGGCTCTCCATCAGGCAGACGGTGTGAAACTGATTGCTGACAGGCCCCTCTTTGTAACCAGTCACCCTGGAGATTCCTACTTAGAGTCTCTTGGATTGATTGAGTTTGGCCTTCCCTGCCAAGGTCTTCAATTCCAATCCACTCTGTGCATGGTCCAGAAATTTTATTTGCTTCAATATCAGCCAGAATGTCTCTTCTGGGTTCCGCTGCTCTGTGTTGTGTGAAAGCCCGAGCTGGCTCAGTCACAGGTTGAGTTGAATCCTCACTCCCTGGGTCATCAGCCTGATCTGCTCCCCTTCCTGCCCATTGAGAAGGTGCCTTCCTTGTTGCAGCTTCGGTCAGATCAGCTTCAGTTTTACACTCAGTCTTCGATTCCCTGTTAAATTTACAATCACACACTCATCAGTCTGAGAACATGCATCTGCAATCACCTGCAGAACCCCAAGAGGAGAAGATACAATGAGGAAAACTGCATTTATTTAATACATTTAACACTAAAGAACTTTCCAAATCGGTGCAGGGCGATTATTAAACCATATTTTGACATCGAGCCACAGCAAGAGATATTAGAGCAGGTGACCAAATGCTTTGACAGTGAGGTGGTATTTTAAGGAGTGTTTTAAAAGAGGAAAAGGTGGCAGACACAGGGAGATGAGGGAGGTGACAGAGAATGGAGCCCAGGCAGACGAAGGTACAGCCAGCAATGATGCAGTGATGGATATCAAGAACAAACAGGAGGATGGCATTATAGGAGCAGAGAGATCTCAGAGGGCAGCAGCAATTACAGAGATAGGGAGAGGGGGAGAGGCCATGAAATAATGTGAGAATAAGGAAGAAAATGTTAAAGCACAGGTCTGAGAGCCAAGGAAGATCAGCAAGCACAGGGTTAATGGATGAAAAGAGCTTGTTTCGGACAAGCTCGGGTTTACAGAGAGTAGAATGTGGAAAAGCATCCAGGAGAGAGCTGGAATAGCTGCATCAGGAGGTAACTGAGACATGGATGGGGGTTTGGACAGTGGGGTGAGCTGAGGCAGGGGCACTAAGGGTCAGTATTATGGAGGTGGGAATGGCCAGACCTGCCCTTGGAGGAGAGTTGTTGTGTACACACCCACAGTGTATCACCAATCAGTACCTCCTCGGATTAACCCCTTCCTCCCCTCACATGATTCAATCATGAATGATCCTCCCAAAGAACTGGAATGCCCTGTGGCTGTGTGGGGAAAGGGATGAGTCCAGATTTCTTCAGGTTGTTGAGAAATGGAGCTCATTCTGCAGCTAAAACTGTGGGCTAAGATTTCATGAGTAACACAGAGTCACCCATCCTTGCCTGATACAACCTCTCCACTGCTCTCCTTCATTGCCTTCCTTCTCTCTTCTCTTATCCAATGGAACATGAGGCCAACAAAGTGCATGCTTATCACTAGATTTTCCTGGAACAGGTCCCTAGCCTATGGCCAGTACTTCTTTAGAGCAGCACATTAACCTACTTCTCCATGTTTCACCAATTTGATTACTGGACTAGCAATCCAGAAGGGCTCCAAAACTGGGAGAATTTGGAATTCACTTTTAAATGAATGTAAAAGGAAGTCAAGCCTCAGTAAAAGTGACCATGATGCTGCTGGATTGTTGACAGACACGCACCCACCCTTACATGTCTACATGTGACTCCTGTCACCACAGCAATAAAATACTTGGTTAAAATCGTCCATTTTCTACCAAATCCCCACAAACGGTCACGACTGATGAAGAACCGTACTGCAGGTGAGTTTAGCGTGAGCACTCACCCTGTCCCTGGTGAGCTGACTGGGTCCTGGGGCCAGGAAAGAAATTTATAGAGCCCATCATCCAGCTCATTCCCATGATCCTCACAGGACTGCAGCGTGACCTTGACTTCAGCATCAACATTGCCATCACACAGCTGCCTCATCGCTGCCAGGTATTGTTGGGCTGGAGCCAAACTGCTGCCTTCAGAAAAGAACATCTATTGGAAAAAACAAACAGAAGAATCTAAGGGACAACGGGCTACATTTAAACTCTCACAAGAGCTCAGTGTCAGACTCAAATAGTCCAGGAAGAAGTGTAGATCTTTTTATATGTTTAGAGCATATGGGCCTGACTGACTGGGTCAGCATTTATTGCCCATCCTTAATTGCACTTGAACTGAGTGGCTTACTAGGGCCACTTCAATGGGCTATAAAGAGACAAGCCACATTACTGAGATCTCAAGTCGTACATGGGCCAGAATGGGTAAGGACAGCAGGTTTCAATTCCCCACAGGATATGAGAGAACCAGATGACATTTTAGGACAATCTATACTGGTCGTCATTATATTGGATTTGTTGTAATCATGACCACATGGTCATAACTTTGCTGAATTTTAATTCCAGATTTTTGTTGGTTTTGAGTGTCACCTTCTGCCAT